ATATATATATATATATATATATATATATATATATATATAGAAGAGAGAGAAGATATGTTTCCATGAGTTATATCGCCTTTTGTTAGTTTCTTTTTAACTTGTCAAAGTATCTGGATGTGTCAAAATATCTGGATTTAAGAGTAAATACATGGTAATGCAACTAACAAACATTTACCTACAGTTATACAACCAACAAATCACAATATTTGACAAACAACTTTTGAGTCAAACTAATATCTAAAATAATAAAAAAAATACTCTGTTTTTTATAGAATAACAATATTTACAACATTCAATGAAAATATGTGTAACAGCTTTTATCTTGCCTACCAAAATGTTTTGATCAAGAATTATTTCTTTTCTCTATGTTATATGAGCCAAATATTTATAAGTATTTTTATGTGCTTGCAGACAAACAACAAAAGCCAAATATGAAACAACAATCGATTATTATTTGTCTACTAATAGCATGTACACGTATATCGCATCAGGTAAATATAAGACGTTGTATATTTACTAACAATGCATATTTCTATTACCTTAAAATTTCTATTATCTATTATCTTAATCCAGAGATATAATCTATTTGATAAAATCCTACATATATACATTTTATTACGACCAGGTATCAACTCCTGATTCAGAAACTTATGTAGCAGCTGTGGTGGAATTTTCTTCACAATACAAAATCTCTGGCCAGCTTACTTTAAAGACTAATACTGATGCATATATCAAACACATTAAGACAGCTAATGCAAGTGTAAGTATCTTTGTAATTACTTGTTCATGAGCAAATCTTTGCACATCAATACTTATGGTTGCATTGAAAAAAATGAGATGTTAGAAAAGTAAACACGAAACATTGTGAATTATCTAAATATATAAAAAAAATATAATTTATTTTAACAAATGTTTTATAGTACAAAGGAAAAATATTGAAAAATAATATTGAGTCAATTCTTTTTTGCTAAGAGAAGAAACTATGTGTTAAAAATTGCATATTGAACAGAAAGCTTGTGTTTACAAATATATCCTGTATACCATCTAAATAATTCAGATATCTTTTAGGACGTTGATATAATAGTTTTCCCTGAAGATGGCTTGACAACAATTCATTTACCACAAAGAGAACAAATGGATGATTGGACAACTATTATTCCTGCTGCTTCAAAAAATTATATACCTTGCGATGAAAATACTATTGAAGTCAGCGATGTATGTGTTTTGTGTATATATTCTACAGTTCCTTATATATTTATGAAATATTAATAATTGAATATGGATTGTGTGTTTTAAAAAAATATGCATATCCACAGACACTGAAAAGAATATCATGTGCAGCAAAAGAGAATCGAATCTATGTGGTAATCAATATTGCTGAGAAAGTACCCTGCAATAAGAACACATGTACAAAATATGATAAAGTTTATCACAACACCAATGTTGTATTTGATCGCAATGGAAAGATTATTGCCAGGTATACAAATATATTATTGCTGACATTATTATTACTATGACTATATATATTAATGATATTATATAAATTTAACGATATTATATACTATATATGTTGATATATATATGTCATAGTCATACTATGACTATATATTTAATGATATTAAATAAATGTCTAATTGAGATGTGTGTGAATACACATAGGTACCGCAAAGTGAATCTTTTCGTGGAACCAGCATTTAATACTACAAAAATACCGGAAATAATAACTTTTGATACTGATTTTGGAGTGAAGTTTGGAACATTCATATGTTTTGATGTATTGTTTAAAATCCCTGCATTATACTTGACAAGAATACATCAAGTTACTGATTTTGTATATCCTACAGCATGGTTTTCTGAAATACCGTTCCTAACAGGTGAGCAAAATGCCAAGATTTCTTCCTGTTTAATATGTCAGCTACCCAAATTAAATTCCGAAGCAAAATTTGTCTAGCTATGCAAACTCAGTAACATTTTTTTTTAAGAGCTACAAGACAAAACGTTTATTGAATAAAAATCTCAGATATCCTTTCTTACGTTTACATAAATGGAATGTATCATCGATGATACATTAAAAGACAATGTGTTAAATGTGAGATTTCATTGAGACAAAAATTATATACTGTAACAGGAAATTATTCTTTCAGCTGTACAAACACATTCTGGATGGGCGTATGCTGAGGACGTAAATTTCTTAGTTGCTGGCTACAATAATCCTCCCGTTGGCAGCACAGGCAGTGGAATTTACCTAGGTAATAAAACTTTACATTCCTAATATTATTCACAGTCAGCAATCTGCAGTACAAATATATGTACGAGATAATATTATAATATACAGGTCGCAAAGGAATAGGCAAGTCAATAATGTCTTCAATCTTGCAAGAGAAGATGTTGGTACACAAAGTACCTAAAATGAAGAAGAAAACTGAATTTAAGTACGATGTAAATTACGAAAAAATACTTTTAAAAGATATCCATGACGCAGCTTCGTATCGAGAAATTAACGAGGACTTTCTTTTGTGGAAGAAGAAAAAAGACGACGTTGGAGAGACTGATAAAATTAAACTTATATACGATTTCATTTATTCCTTTGATACGTTTCTGTTAGAAGGAAATGTCACGAAGACTCTTTGCCAAAATAACTTCTGTTGTAACTTTGAGATAGAAATTTCAAAGATTGATCCAAATACAAAGTATCGTTTAGCAATCTATAGTGGTCTTCGCAGTTTCTACGCCGTTAACGGAAGTGTGAGCTCCTGCGGCATAATGCAGTGTTCGAACCAGTCGATCGAGTCATGTGGATCTGTGCAACAATCAGGAACGGTATTTAAAAAACTTAATATCTCCGCAACGTATCGTAATTATAAAACAGATCTAGTTATGCCGTCCACGTTAGACTCGGAATTATACCCACTTCCAGTAGAAGATTGGTCATATGATGAGTATAATTATGATGATTACGTACACGTCCACATATATTTGACTCGGGAGAGAAATAATATATTAACATTTGGATTGTACTCGAGGAATTTTGTTGAAAACAATGCAAGCAAGAAAACATTTATCAATACTATCACTTATTTCACACTGTCATTAATGACTTGGATTGTATCGAATTTCTTCTAATAACTTGTAAAATATATCTGAAATTTAAGCGATTAATATGTACTTTATATTGCACTTTATATTGCACTATACTTTATGTGCACAATTTATAATGCATTTTCTCGGTAGTATAAAGTCTTATAAGGTCGTATAAGGTTTTAGAAGTCATATATTTTTTCCTATCTACGAATTATTGAGACATATGTATGTGTACCATGTATATAAATACTATATTTTTTATAATAGGTAGGTTTTGTAGTGCGTTTTATATAAGATCATGTAATTTTATATGATGTATTAAATTTATAAATTGAAATATTTTACATTATGTGTGTTGGAAATGTATTTAGTCTTCCATTCGTGTGATTAACAATTGAAGTAAGAAACATTAAAGAAATTATAAGAAACTTCAGGTAATAAACACATATGCCAAATATCTTGTAGCGTTGATGCCAACTATTTTGGCATGTTAATAAATGCACCGATCACGTTTTATTACTAATAAAAATGTTTCTTACGAAAAGACACGTTCTTAATGTATATGTTGCGAGTTACGATAAATATCTCTCATCGTTCTTACGACTGTATCCAATCAATCGTAAGTACTTTTATGTAAAAAAGAAATTCCTTACAAGTCGCATCAGAATTAAAAAATTTGAATGAGAATGAACTTTTTGGACGAGTAGAAACATGATTGCCAAATCAAAGGGTTAAATGATTAAAGATAATTTATTACAAATCACTAATCTAATCAATGTTAAATATCTAGAAAACTGCTATAAAAACATGCTAGGCAGACAGCATATCATCTTCATTCATTTAACCTTTCTAAATTCTTTTTATCATAAAGCCTAATTAGTTTAATTATGATTCTACTTATTTCTCATAAGCCAAACTGTTATAAATTTTTGTTCCTGCGTTATCTTAGACCTTAAGAAATTGTACAGATGTGCCTATACGGACATACCAAAACCAAATTTTGAAGAATATCGACGAAAATCGCTGGAAGATACCGAAACACCGGCTGCAAAAAGTGCTGATGAACGAAAAGCACTGAGTTGCATTGCTTCTTTTGGTGCGTTATTCGAAACTAAGTTTATATAAAATGCTTCTATCGATTAAGTATTTTTTCTCCAACAAAATACTAGAGTACTTCTCAATTGAGACATATGTCACAGGTTGAATTGAATGCTTACAGTTGGCGGTGTCGCTGGACTGTACAGCTTGAAATCTCACGCAATGCATTATATACTTTTCGTATCGCCTTCGCGAGATATATTGGCGGAGACGCAAATGGAAGTGAAATTAGGCGGTATATCAGAGGGACGTGTGGCGATTGTAAAGTGGCGCGGCAAACCTGTTTTCATTTATCACCGGTAAGATATAACATAAGCTGCAATTGTACAAATTTTGTACAAGTACCCTTCTTTAAATCTACCTTTTTTAATTTTTTAAACTTTGGTATATTCTACTTTTAATTTATAGAAATTATTAATCTAGGAATATTATTTAATGTGTTTTATTATTTATATTTTTATATTTATACACAATTTAACAGAGATAATATAAGAAGGATTTAGAGGAAACTCTCTTTCTCTTTGATCAGAGTCTAACTTATTTTTTACTTATTTATAGCACACAATCAATTATCGAGCAAGAAAGAGCGGTTGTGTTATCCGAATTACGCGATCCAGAAACGGATGAAAATAGAGTGAAAAGGCCGGAATGGCTAATCGTTGTGGGAGTTTGCACACATTTGGGATGTATACCGATTCCGAATGCAGGAATTATACCGGGTGGCTTTTTATGTCCATGTCACGGTTCGCACTTTGACGCGGCCGGTCGCATTCGAAAAGGCCCGGCACCGACTAACTTAGAAGTACCCAAGTACAAATTCATAAAGGACGATAGTGTCATTATTGGATGACGGGTCCTTTCTAAGTTAAAACGGGTATTAAGTAAAAAATAACGAGCGAATCACAAAGAATATGTAATATTCCGCGCAAGACAAAAACCCTGTTTGTTCGTGTTCATTGAGATTTTGGAATTTATAGCCTTAATAATTATGATAAATAAAGTGCCGATTTCGGCGAAGGAAAATGTACACTCACCAATTTTCCTCTTGGCGATTTGAACTCTGGACTGTCACAGTACGGAGAATTTATGAATTCAGTCAGCAATCACAACAATAATTTGCAAATGACCATCCTTCAGCGGGTCGGGAACATAAGGGATATGATTTGAACTTCCAACGACCGCGAACGCAACACAGCGAACGCCCGACACTTTGCTGGATAGTCTCGATGGTTCATTACGCGAAATGTCCAATTCCGGTGTCTATTCAATGATATCTTCCCACGACAAACGCGCGGAATTATTTCCGGCACTCCCGACAATAATTCACGCCCGAAACTCATCGTCGACAAACGCGAAATCGCGAGAGATATAAAACAGATATATATTCACAGAGATATATTCACAGAGATATATAACAGAGATATATTCACAAAGTTCGAACCGACGTGTCGCCACATATCGCGAGCTATCTCGTGATTGAATAGCGTGTCTTACAATTATTGCGATTCTCGACGTATTAAATGCAGCCAACTTCATTCGGTACTCCCGCTGCCTCTCCGCGATATTAGCGACTTATTAAAAATATTTTACAAAGATAGACACAATGAAACTTATTTTTGACACTCCTAATCGATGATAATTCGTACGCGGGATTCCTGGGACGAATCGAAAACATAAAGGTCAGCGACCTGTGCTACGATTCTTAACTCGTTATTGGAGTTAACGACAGTTTCGTTATCGTTGCGCAGTTTTTGTATACCATAGAAAAATGGCACAACAATAACGAAACTGTCATTAACTCCAATAACGAGTTACAGAATCCCAGCACTGGGGCCTTATTCTCGAAAATATATTGTATGCCTCCTAACCAAAACGCACGGATGTCCTTTTGCTCGACGTCTCCAAATGCCCAAAATATTCGCTTCCAGCGTCTATTTAACGATACTTGGCTGCGACAAATGCACACAACTTATTTCTCGGCAATAATTCACACACGAGACTCGAAAATCAACAAATCACAACTGTGAGAAATACGGAACAGTTTTTTGAATAGGAACTAACGCGCTATGTTCCGCTCCAAATAAACGGTGCGTCCACGATAGTAATTCTTATCTCAATATAGTGCGCATGCGCGAGCTTAAAATTGCGAGCCTAAAGCGGGAAGAACACATTCTTACATAAAAACATAATACACACATATAAGGAAATGACCAATTAAAGTCCTTATTTTTATTGCCACGATGAAGATGAAGGACTCTGATTGGTCAATTTTCTTATGCGTTGTGCATTATGCCTTTATACGAGAGGGTGTGTTTCCCGCTTAATACGTCTTTCTGATTCTCAAGCTAAACGACTTTATAAATCTAAGGAACTATTATAACTATAAGGAAAAATGGAACTTTAAATAAAAAGCACGTACTTAGCATTCGAATACACGTCAAGAATATGACGATCAAGAGTATGATTAAATCTGCGCAGTAAGAGGCGCCGCACACAATTGACATAATAGTAACGTAAGACGTACCGTAAGAATTGACCAATCACTTTAAGTATCGTCGAACTGTAAGGTCGCCATTTTTGTGAATACTCGATTGTAATTGGTCCATTTTTACGGTATGCTTACGTTACTGTTATGTCAATCGTGTGCGGCGCCCCTAAAACTTATGATACTCAACTATTTCAAAAATAAGGGCCCTGTGCCTTCTAATGAAAGATCACAGGTACGAATATCTAGATACGACGTATCCAATAAAAAGATGCCTAAAATGGAAAGCGGAAGAAGCTCTTGATAAGGCAATGTTGCTACTGCTGCCACAGCGCATGCGCAATATTGGCGCAGTTTAACTCGCATCGTTCTCACATCGTATCTTTCCCCGTATCTTTCCCCGTATATACGACAAGTTTGGAATAACCTCTTCGATCTAAAAGATTTTGATATTGCTTATATTGTAAATATTATTAGATTTTTTATATTTTTAATATTTAAGAACTTTTGATCACAAATATTTACAATATAAACCAGATTAAGAAGTGAGTGAAATTTGTTGAAGAATTCATACAAATTTTAATTCGGAAGTAAGCTAAAAGAAACAATGACTTCCAAAATAACACCACCGATAGAAAGAATTCAACTTTTGGATAATATCGAGAAAGAGGTGATAAACTGTTTACAAAGTGCAGGTAATTATTATGATATAATAATCCCTCTTATTGCAATATGGTGCGCATTAGATTATTTATGTATGTGAAAAGAATATCAGAAATAGAAACAGAAAAGTATATATGTAATCGAAATATACTTTATATTGTATAGGACAAGCTATATTGGAACTGGGCAAAGAAAAATCAAGTATGAAACAAGTAGAACAAAATACAACTCACTTTTTGAAGTCTCTAGGAATTGTAGAATCTAAATTAAGTGAGCAAATTAATTACCTTACACAGGTTTCTACTGGTACGTATAGTTGTATAATATCTCATTCTTATACAATATCTATCGTTCCAATATTTGTTTTATCTCAATATGCATTTAATAATGTATCTCAGGTCAACCACATGAAGGTTCTGGATATGCAAGCCAAAAAGTACTCCAAATGGCATGGCATAGGTTAGAACATGCACGAAGTAGAGTCAATGAGCTAGAGCGTATAAAAAATAAATTACGATAATGAGTTGTATAACATTTTTCATGATGTATGTTAAATTATATACTGGTAAATCTTTTTAATACAAATTATTTCAACAAATTAAGTCTATTTTTGTTAAAGAAAAATTATTCCAATAAACTAGTTTGTAATTACTCTTGTAAAACTGTTTTATGAATAAACTGTATAACTTCATAATTCATAATATATGTGACAAGTAAATTTTATAATAATATACACAATTTTGTGCGCATTCTTTATTGTTAAATGTATAATACACTAAAAAAATACATAAATAATTTTTCTGTCATGTGTGCTTATTCTATATTTATCACATACATATTATACAAATAGAGTAAACTTTATGAAACATTCCAACAACACTCAACATATTAAACTTCATGATTAAAACTTGTATATAAGAAATAAAGATTGTGAAAAATTTCTTTCGCAACATTGTTCTTTTTCTTATAATATGAATGCATGCAATTTTTGATTTCATTCTTATCCATCTATAACTCCCATGCTACGTTTTACTGTAGCAGCCAATGAAAGTCGTGATCTCCTTTCCTCATCTAATTGTTTTGTTAGTAGTGACATTTGTGATTGCAAGTCTGTCATTTGATTCTTCAAAGTTTTAACTGTTTCTGATAATGTCCTGTAAAATATACATTAATATTAATATATTTTTTTTTTCAAACAGTCAACAATAAGCAAGTTTCTAAGTATATAAGTTTTTGCAAGTAATGCATAATTTTTACACTAATATATCTGTGCAAATTCATTACAATAAGAGGAAGAATAAAAGATAATTTTTATTATATGTATCCTTTCTTCTCACTTGAAAATAAATAATAAAATATATGGTCAAATTTACCTATCATTACAAGATTCCCAATTGCCTCTGTTATGCAGAGATGATATCCTCTCGCGTGATTTTTGTGATTCATAATCTAACATTGCTGAAAGTAATATTAGTATCTTATTCGTGATATAATCATAATATAGATCTTAAAAAGTCAAATATAGAAGTGGAAAAGTTATTAAGAGTTATTAAGAGTCTAATCAGATTATTTTAATTTTTAAAAACTTACAATTGGATTCCCCAGAATGTACAGTGAACCTTGCATTGACAGAAAGACAATAACCTTCTATTACTTTCAGTATAATCGCATCTTCTTCAAATTGTCGTTCATCTGCAAGATAAAGTAAGTTACAGACTCGATTGCATAGATAAAATATTATATAATTTGGTTAAGGTTCCTAGTCTCTTGCACTGTTTATCTCTTTTTAATGAGTCAGAAGCGAGAAAGTGCATGTTAAAAATTCTTGCAAAATATGTTAAAATAAAAATATATATCCCTAAAGTAACACTTGCAATCGATTAAACAAATATGTAAGGTATTTTGTGTACTCCTCTTTTGCTCTATCAATTTGTCGTAAATTAACATGCCATACAATTAATTATTAGAGCAAAAGGGCAATGCACGGAATATCTTACAAATTTGTTTAATCGACTGCAAGTGTTACTTTATAAATATATATTTTTATTTTAACGTATTTTGTAAGAATTTTTAACATACTGAAGTCGATGACGAACTTGAACAATGTCAATAATGCAGAGACGATCGTCACTAACATAATCACGCTATCCTTTTCGTATTTCTTATATATAGAACTTACATGAATGTATTGCTTTGTTTTACCATATTCAATAAAAAACCTAACCATATATGTGTAGAAATCTTTCTGCAAACTTTTTCGATATTCTTAAGTTCCAAATATAGATGTGAAGGTAATGTTCTTCAAAATTTTTTTGTTTGGAGCATCTACACTTTTGGTATATACAAGCTACGAAATTTTTGGATCAAAGCAAATATTATGCAGACAGCTTGAGATTTTACATTAAAAATTTTTTGTTCGTTTTCGTCATATATCGAGCAATGCTCCTATTTATTTTTGCACGTATTTTCATTGCGTAAAAGCACTTGTAATTCTGTGTAACCAATACGACGTAAACCTTGCAGAAAAATGTCAGTATTCTGTCGGTAACATTTTCAGCTTGAACATCCCCTTAATGCACAAGACAAAACTTACTGCATGATCGTGGTGAGCGCGATGTATCTGTGGTAGTATCTATTTTACCAAAGTTCTTAAGAGAATATAAGGGAGGAGCAGGTCTTAATGATGCGAGACTCCAAGGTGTCTTAATCCCTGGAGATGAACAATGCTCTATTGTTGGTCGTTGATGTTTCCCGTTCGTCTGATTGTTCATTTGCTGTAATATATATAGCATAATTTATAAATATATTCCAATATACATTAATATATATGTAACACATATAATTATAGGGTCTCTAATATTATATCCATACATAAGTATGTAATAGTTTCTAATATAATGTAAATTTTTCCTCTATTGGTTAGCGCATGGTCTCTGTTTTAATAGAAAAATTTTTAAGCCATGCGGCGATATAATAGAACATAAAATTCTATAATTATGATTATATATATTATTCTTTCTCAGGAGCGCACGCCCTACCTAATATGATCTAAGATTCTGTCTATTCAAAATCAAATTGACTAGAACCTTTTGCAAAGCGAATGATGACAATGAGATAAAATAAATTAATATGCACAGGAATTTCTGCGATACATTTCAAGGCTATTCTATAACGTATTGTGTTAGTAAAGCAACAGCTTACTTCACACAACATGGCTGTGAAATAAGAGTATACAACTTTTGGTGGAAAATGATAATTAGTAAGAACACCAGCATGGTTAAAAGAAACTGAAGTGATCAAATAAACAGCCATGCCATGGAAGCTTGCCTTGTTCCGTGCATCCAGATATTGGGATAGGTTTCTTGAGCCACCAATGAGCATATAATCCAGACGAATACACTTGATTGGTAGGTTCGTCATGTTCTTCCAGAATTGGTTGAATTGGACGAACTATGCGTCTCCCAACTTTTTTAATTACACATTGATGTGCATATGGTATTGGTTGGGTATATCTTTTTTCTCTTAAATTTCCATGACTTATTAGAGCATGAGTTGCTACAGTTTCTTGAATTTTAATCCCACTATTATTTTGATTATCATCAACGTCGTCATCAACATTGCTCATGTCAGGTTTTGCAAGGCTTGCACATTCGTCAATATTTTTGAATGAAGTTATAGAATGGGCACTATCTCGAGGTGTAGACCCAAACGGCGAAGTGCAAATACATTGATTCTCAAATTTATTCTCATCATTTTCGCTTTCGCTGTGAGATGTTCTTACAGCATCTGTATACTTAGTATGACTAGACGCGTATGATTTGTAACAGGAATTAATTTCAGACGAATTTAAGCAATAACTCTCAGCCATTCCCGAATCCGATGATCGTAAACTAGTATTTGCGCACGTTTCTCGAAACTTCCTTTCGTTACTGTCGCAATTATTTCCCTGAGTGGAAGTCTCTGAATGTCGAACTGGAATACTTGTGTTTGGAACGTCCAATTTCTCTGGACAAAGCTCGATCGTTTTCAAACAATTCACTGCCAGACCGCAGTGTTCTTTCATATGCGGAACTTTTAAGTGCTCCCGACAAAATTCATTAGAGCGTGCTTGAAGATTCGACGTATAAGATTTGCTTGACGCGAGTTCAACTTTCGGCAGGACGTGGCTCATTGTAGTACCAGCGGGCAAACTTTTACTAGTCTCGAAGGTACAGCGGTCACCATAGTCGACTCTCAATGCGAAATTCGTGAGTGAGGAATCGCTCGCTATTCCTACGTTACTAAGATCGGTATTATCTACTACGTATCTAACATCCATTATTAACGTGGATTTACACAATATTCGCGACTCCTCCTGCATATTATGGCTGTCAGTGGTTACATCCGAGTCTGATTCTCCGCTACTGTGAGCTGGGAGAATAGTATAAGTCACATTGCATTTTCTCATTTTCACACTACTCAAATCTGGCTTCAAAACGTATTGAATGTACAGTAACTTCTTCATTAATTCAGGATATATGATTTTCCTCCTCACGAGCTTCGCGAAATATCTGGAAAGTCGCGCGTACGGAGGATGATGACAACTCACACGGGACATATTTGGTGATTTCAAGAGGCTAGTGCCTTGTTCCTGAATTAAAAGCTCAATCCAACGCTGTCTCTCTTCTCTCGTGGGACACAGCACAACGATACTTTCGATCATTGGTCCTTAAAATATACACATTGGATTTTAGTATCTATTACAAATTATTGCTATTTTGCGACTTGAAAGACTTTGTTTTTATCTTTAAGTTACGAAACGACATTTTTTGTTTTTGTTGCAATATAAAACTATAGTACACATGTATAAAATATTGACAGCTTACCAGTGATCTCTAAGGCGTTTCTTATTTCGTCTGTATCTTCAATTCCAGTTACATTAATGCCTGTTAGTGGCAATTTTCCCTGTGCAAATAATCACGATGTAAGTTATAGTCTTTACATATTGAAATGGCATTTTTTAAGTGATATAACAGCATATTTTCAGATGTACTTCGTAAATATAGGAACTCATTCTTGGACTGGTACTCAGCACCAGCAAAGTGGTAGGAAACAAAACAAAGTATCTGTCTCTACGATCTACACCGGTTGCTAGAGTCACAGATCCAACGTGAAGAACCTCGCCTAACGAGCTCAACTCTTCGCCTTCCCACCCTTTGATCCCACTGGTTAATATTTGAAGTGCTAATTCACGCTGCTTACGTATGGAGACGCAATGATCCTACAATTAAGGCAAATCGGTAACGCGATAAGCATGTTAAACAATTGTGTGTATATAACATATGTGTCGATTATCATACCGCAATTTCTCGATATACTGCTATACTACGTTGAGTATCTCCTCTGTCGGGATGATTCTTTTCAGTGTACCTTTCTAGTTCTTGAAGCATAGCAGAATATTTATCCAATCGTCGGAACGGCTTGCTAAGACCAGTGGTTAATACTAATATCCCAGGTGATACTGCTCCAGTATGTTCCATAAATTCATTCAATTCATCTCTGAGATGATAGTATATAATTTATTTATAAATACATCCATTGTGTATAAATATAATGCTGTTTTAATAACATCTTGTATTTTCCACAATAATTACCTATATCGATCCAGAATACACACAGCTTGTGGATGATTATTACAATATGTTGTGTGAACAGATTTTAATCTGGGTGCAATAGTTATAAAAAGATTTCCCATTCTTGCAGAGAGTCCTTGTAAAATAGTTGCTTCCAAGTTTGCCAATAAATACTGATGAGTTTCCAAAACTTCGTGTATATTACCAAGTAGTTGCTTGTATTCATCTTTTTTTAGTCTATATGTAATTATAAACTTTTAATATTTTATAATATAATATATGCAATGTATTTTTATTTTTCCTTGTATGCTTTAATATGATGCTATAACTTACATATTTGATGCTTCAAGAGGTTGTAAAAACTTATTCATTAAACCCTGCAGTTCTGCCACATTTACTCTTTCAGAATTAACAATATCTTTTAATACTATATCACGATTAAGTTTGTGATGTATAGGTGATTCTTGTGGACTTCTTTCTGGAGATGCTTTAATTGATGTATGACCATCATCTACATAGATTAATTTATTAGAATATATAGCTGATTACACACACAATTATTATTTCAGGCATCCAAATGTAAGTATGTTTAATTACTGCCATACCTGGAATTCTATATTCCTTGACATAATTGGAGGGAAACCAACCAGTTTTGTCATTTAATGTACCCTCCCACCAGCCTTCATCGTCTATTTGAGTTATCGTTATCACATCCCCTTTCTTAAAGCATAACTAAAAGAAAAAAATGCAGTTATATATATTTATATATATATATATATATTCATTTTATAATCATATTATTTGTATCTTTAGCATAATCCTGTCACAAATCACCCAATTTTAATATTCAAAATTTTTTAACATTTATCATATTTTTGTTTCTGTTACTTAAAGTTACAAGAGTTTGTACATAGTTGATAGACTGAGTAATTAAAAAACACTTTTATTTCTTTGGAGTTATCATTTTAGATAATACCATTTTGACAATGTGATATTTAAGTATCATTAAGTGGAATATCTTATGTGATATTTTTTCTTTTACATACTTCGTCGTTGTTCTTCCCCTTGAAGGAGTAAAGCGCGATAACGAGTTTAGGTCCATCAGACTTCGACATGGTTTCCGTCAACTAATTGCAGGTCGTAGTAAAATACCGAAAGACTAATTTTGAAGTAGCAATTTCGTACATCGTATTCGCAAGATCAACATTCAGCCTTCAAACATGATTCACCAATTCGTGACAGTTTCTTGGAACACAGTGAAAGGCTCGTCTTAAAATACAATGTAGGTCGCGTTTTCAGTAAATTTGCTGCACTAGGACATCGTAACGCGAAGAATTCTATCACATATTCCGACAGTTCTCATTCCTGTCACGTGAAAGATTGTCAAACGCCTTGTGCATAAATGTACGGGCATAATTACATAGGTTACATATCTGCCAAGCTCTCTCGCTAGGCTTTGCATCTATAAATATCCGCGATTCCCACATCACGTGACCATAACTATGAACACTTCCTAGTTGATGACACCTCGTCAGTTGTAAATAGGGATGGGCGATATCAGAGAAAAGCTTGAGAGCGGCTACCAGCTTGATTTAGTGGCCAGAGCTAGGCGCATTTTCGAACGCCATCTAACAAGATGCGCCTTTATTACGTTCGTTAAACATATTTCGCGGTGGTAAAGCTGGTGGCACATAAAAAAACTTAAGCAGTAAGACGTAAGCAGTAAGCGAATCAGCCAATCACAGTCGTTGATTCTTGAACCGTAAGAAGTATCAACGACTGTGAAGCGTCTTCTACAATGGCAGTAGGAGTAGTAGTAAGAAATAAGCAGTAAGTAAATAGACCAATCACAATCGATTATTTTTGAAACGTAAGAATGGAATTGGTCAATTTGCTTACTGCTTATTTCTTACTACTACTCCTACTGCCCTTGTAGAAGACGCTTGATTGATCAATTTGCTTACTGCTTATATCTTACTGCTTAAATTTTTCTGTGTGCCACGGTCCTAAGGGGCGCCGCACACGAATTGACATAATGGCTCCTGTACACAGGACGCGGTAATGCTTGCCGTGCGGCGGAAATTCGCGCGACAGCCAATTAATATGCTGTTTTCCGTAATAACCTTCTAGCTCTTACGGAAAAACAACATATTGATTGGCTGTCGCGCGGACTTCCGCCGCGCGGCAAGTATTACCGCGTCCTGTGTGCAGGAGCCATAAGACATATGGTCAGAATTGACCAATCACTTTGAGTATCGTCAACCGTTAGGTCGCCATTTTTGTGAATACTCGATTGTAATTGATCCATTTTTACGGTCTTACGTTACTGTTATGTCAATCGTGTGCGGCGCCCCTAAGGGCCTTCACACATAAAATGACAAACTGCATGTGCATAGTATAAGATGTATGGGCCAATGAGCATCGAGTATTTAACCGCCATATTGATGCTTGATGCTCAATACTCGATGCTCATTGGTCCATACAGTCTTATGCTATGCACATGCAATTATGTCATTTCATGTGTGAAGACCCTACGCATCTTCACACACAAATTGTACCCAATGAGGTGCAGCACCCAATGGATTATTTTTCAACATGCCCATATCTTGGTATTTTTTAATAATAAATAATAAGATCTAAATAATAAAAAAGATACTATCCATTTCACGTCGAAATCTCTTCTCAAACCGCGATGCTTATTAATTTTAATTGTCATTAGAAAACACTAGTTACCTAGCCGACTAGTAGCCCTCGAGCTGAGTAGGGATGTATAGTATTGTGTCGACGATTACGACAATTGAAATGTAATTTGTGTCGTGTGCATGAAAGTGTCTAGAGATATTGCAATTGGAAAGCATCCATTCTGGGCTGCGTTCGGAAACACACACTGTGTGCACACTACTAGACGATAGCCATTGGAGTGAGCGAAATACAAAAGTAAGATAAAAAGAGAGGGAGAGTACTCGAGTGACGTTTTCGAACGCAGCCTGTCCGCAAAGTGAAGCCGGAAGTTGGCAGTTTAAAACAGAGTGAGAAAGTTGATTTGCCCTTAGTGCTTTTTCACTCTATATTGTTGACTGTCAAGAAGGAGGGTTTGGTTAACATTGCAAATACTTTAAAACGTTAAATAAAGCAATGTGATTGATCCATTCGTCGCTTTGAAGCACTTACAGCACTAAAAGAACTATTTACAGCACTAAACCTTATCCAAGAACTGTATTCCGTCTGTCAGAAGAAAAATTGTGGACATATCAGATAACATAAAAACCATTTTTAATCTAGCAATAGCCTCTGAATTTTTAGCTGATAATTTTCCTTGGTGTGGCAGTTCTAATCACTTTAGGTAGAATAACAAATATAAGATTTACTGCTAAATTACTTCCTAAACAGATGGCAAACACTTTGCACAATAATGGGAATAGAGGATATCTTCACCACTAACAAGATTTCTCACAAGTAAATTGCAGAATTTATATGCATACTGAAATCTTGGCAACAGTAGCAACTCAGTAAGTAAATATGCACAGATATTTACTTGAAATGATGATACAAAAGTCTAATGTTGATAGTCCTGAGCTAGTAAAGTAGGCATTGGTTCAAGCAAAAGTAGACCTCAAGTTGGATTAGTAGCCATCTGTTTAATGGATATCTTCATCAATTCTAGTAGTCAAACTATGATATCATCTACACAACTATACTGTTGATTTGAGAGAAATCTTAAATGAATTGAGGATTACTCTAGAAAAGTGATATAAATATTTGAAAATCTTAGGGTTAGAAGAAACAGAACAACTCAGTTGGAAAAACTATATCTATACTTTGCTGCTCTCAGTGCAGCTGTCTACAAGTAACTGAGTGTAGAGGAAAAGGATGTCATGATGTAAATACAGACAATGTAAAAATCTGATTCAGTTAAGGATACACAAAGTCTTTCTGTTGCATGAATTAATGAGAAAACCTAGAAGAATCTACAATGCTTAGGAAAAAAGTCAACCAAAAGCTTCTGAAGGAGAATAAAAAAAAGAACAATAAGATAGAGAATAATAGCATAATAAAAAAGGAAGAGTTGTCGGTAGTAATGCATGAAACAGCTTAAAGTATAAATTTTTTTATATATATTTTCATTCAAGAATTTTTTTTTTTAAATTTCGGGTTATTAAATTATATCTGTGGCAATCTATTTTATGTATATTTTGCAAAAAGATTTACCAATTTTTATTCAAAGCAAAATTTTAAACTTTTCGTTATGAGCGCTATTATCTAATATAAAAAAAATTTTAAGAACATCATATAACTTAGTGAAAAATCATATGTATTTTTTATTTTCAAGCAGTAGATCTAATGAGAATCTTATTTTTAATTAATACAACTCGACAAGAATTCGAAATTTCGTTTTTGGAATAACAATTTAACGGAACAACGGGAAAAGTATGTAGTAAAGCCGGAATGTAAATGCACTTAATGCGTTACACGTATGCGATACACGTATGTCTCCGGGAATACCGTTTATGTCATCGATATATTTCGAACAAATCCACAATCTATACACAAAAGATTGCCATGAATTATTCACGATGTATGAGTACGACAGGATGCGCGCGCGCGCGCGCGCGTTCGAGCCTCCGATGTTAAATATACCGTCATCTACAGCTCCGTCAAACATTCCAAATCCTTTCACGATCTGTTTTGCTGACAGCTATAAATTGTAGAAATCTCTAATACATTTTTTATCCAAGAAAGCGAACGAATCGAATCGAATATGTCGTATACATGAAATTAATTTTTGATTCTGAACTTTATAGTTTTTCTTTTATAGTTTCGCTTTGTTTTTATTTCTTTTTGTTGTAAAAATGCATTCAATTTTATGGATATGTTAATAGATTGTTGATAGATTCAATTTAACAATAATTCGTAATAGTTTTAAGACAGCAGATGTTTAACCGGATTTGTAATTCCGACAAATGTTATAAACACGTTTCAATTGAAGATTCAAACTTCTACTGATTATCGATTACGCAACGTGATTAGTAACGTTAAATTACATCAAACCAGTGAGCATCCGTTAACAATGAACATCAGAAACCAATTTTTGCGGCTAACGTGTATAATCAAAACGATACACATTAACTAGCGAATAATTTTATTAAATGGCGCAACAATGTCCATTTAATTATTCAGTTATATAAATGTTACTTTTCGTGCGGTTATTGCGTATAATAATTATTCGTGCATTCGTTTATATTGATATTTTTATTTATACTAAGAAAAACCGTGAATTTATATAATATGTTAGTAAATTTTTTCAGTAACAAATATTGGTGAATATTATTTAGCTCGTTAGAGGATAAGATCAGATCAAGATTTAACAGACGTTCGCTTGATTTAAGAGAGGAAATGCAAGCATGCACATATCCCACGATTGAAAGTCGCAATTGTTGTTAAAATGCATAATGAAATATTCAATGTATTCTTACGTAAATCTTTTAAACGAGATGCGAGAAATCGCTATAAGCATTGTTTAAGTGGAAGGTAATTACGTACTGATTTTCATTACTTTTGTTTATTGATAATTAGCATTGATAAAATCGTCGTTTGTGTTTTATGAATAATAGTTGAATGAGTCTTTGGGAAAAAAAAATATTAAAAATATTCGTGTTAAAAAGATGTTTTGTGAAAGAAAAATATCTAAAAAATGAAAAATATTTTTTCGGTAGATACTAATAACGTATTTACTTACCAAAACTACCATATATATAAAATATCTTTCAAATATTTATTTAGTAAACATACATTTTGTTAAAATCTTAGCTTATTATGAAAGCAATCGTCTATTACATATAAATAAAACAAACTAGTTTTAAGCAAATTTGTTAGTATTCAACGAATAAATATTTTTCAGATATTTTTTTCTTAGTGTAACATATGCGCGCGTTGTTGTAATAATAACTGCCGCAATAACATAATTGTTTGACTAAAATTGGAAAATGTAAGTGAGAGAAACGCAAGGAATTATATACAATAGATTTATTTCAGACGTCACATTATTTCGGATCATTACAAAATAAATAAGGTATAGACCTTGTTGCGTTGTACTATGTTCGCGTCGAGATATACAATTTTAACCGATCACAGCTGCGCTCTCCGATCGTCCGAGAGTATTTTTAAGCGACATCCAATCTTGAAAATTCGAGTATTCGCCGATTCTGCACTAGCATAAGCGCGATTTTACGTGATTTTGCCTGCTTTTACGGAGTAAGTGCCTTTACCGCTACTGTCTATGTTCGCCGCGCTACTACTGTAGACACCCTTAGCACCATCGACGCTACCACTTTGACCCACGTCGTCTTCGCCAATACGAGAGAATAAACTGCGAACAAAATAGAAAGAGGCGTGCAATGATTCTAATGTAAATCACAGACAGGAAAATGTGAGAGAGAGAGAGAGAGTTGACATCTTAAATGCTTAAAAAACTGGGCTATTATTTGTTTAAGTTTCTTTCGCTGTCTTACGTCCCATCGAGATACTTGTTCAATACATTATCGATTTTTACTGATTTGCATAATCAAGCAGAATCCCTGTCATCGATTGCATGGCAAATACAGCAACGTTCTATCTCAGAATCGAGAAACCGGTTCCCGACTTCACAGTCGGGAAAATTTAACAAAATTAATTCTGACGTCATTTAGCGAAACATCATAAATAGCCTTCGTGGAACAGGAGTATTCCATTATTCGCTTCATTAATCTTCACAACAGGTTTCCTGACAAATTGATGTGCTATTTCGAATATTTTTTGTTTCTTTTTACAAAAAACGTGATATTTCTCAATTCGTGCAACGCTTGCAATTAGAGAAATACGACTGAAATGTTATCTTTAATATCTATTTATATTCAGCAAAATAGTAATACGTACTCTGGGCCATGACCACCAAGGCCTCCGTGACCTCCGTGACCTCCGTAACCACCTCCGGCACCGGCATTCGCATTCGCACTGGCGCTAGCATGAGCATTAGCATTGGCCCCACCGCTACCACCTCCGCATCCCCCAGTAATACATCCACCTAGAATGTCCAATATAGTGTAACAAAATTCATTTTTACAACTATCATTGCCCAAGTAGTCGAAACTATAATTACGCTTACCGCCACCGCCTCCATGACCGCCACCTAAACCACCGCCCAACCCTCCTGCTCCGCCATGGCCGCCTCCTAAGCCTCCTGCTCCGCCATGGCCACCGCCATGGCCACCGCCTAAACCTCCTCCACCACCCAAACCACCTCCATGTCCTAAACCTCCTCCGTGTCCACCGCCTAGTCCTCCACCAGCTGCGGAATCATCATCATATTTATATATGTATTTATCGTATATCCGTACGTTCTGTCATTCACTTACGTCCACCTCCGTGACCGCCACCACCACCAAGACCACCAGCACCTCCGTGACCGCCACCACCACCAAGACCGCCAGCACCTCCGTAACCGCCACCATCACCATAACCTCCAGCACCTCCGATACCATGACCACCTCCCGCACCTTGACCACCTTCCGCACCATGGCCACCTCCGCCGTAACCACCACCACTAGGTCCGGCACCACCATATCCTCCAGGGCCACCGCCACCGTGACTACCTGCCCCACTTCCGCCGTAACTGCCGGAACTAGCTCCTCCATATCCTCCGGCGCCAGATCCACCGCCACCTCCACCATAAATACCACTTATTTTACCAACACTACTTCCACCGTCAGTGCCTAAAATTGAATGGGTTATTAATGATATAAGTGTTAGAATGAAATGAAGATGGGAATAATTATGAGAAGTTATTACAAAAGCCTAACGCAAAAGATAGCACTTGTTTTTAAATGCATACAAAATCTCGCGAACTCGTCAGCTAAAATGTGAATGGAAATATGAATCTTATTAGGATGTAAAGAGTATCATATATAAATATTATATAAGTTGAAATTATTATTCTCTAACAGTGCTAATTTCTAGTCACTAATGTGAATATTTTGCATTATATCTACATATTCTATTCTCTATCTACGCACACATACATGCATACATTTGTATACATAAAGCTAACTTCATCTTGAACTTACCGCCACCTCCATAGCCTCCGCTGCCTCCATGTCCTAAAAAAGGATTTCCGCGTTGTATATAAAAGGCGGACTTTGCACTAATTAAGTGAAAGTACAGATACTTTACAATTCGATATTGAGAAAAGTGTAAGCAGGAGATATCTTATATGTGATTCAATTATTCAAACTTGATGAAAAGATTAGTAACACAAAAATTATAATTTTTTATCAAGAAAAGACTGAGAAAATAACGAATTATCGCAAGTGTTCAAAACAATTTATAACATTAAAATTGATCGAATAAACTTTTCAATACCAAAAAATAAAAAAAAATCGATGAAAAGAAAATTACCGTATCCACCGCTATCGCCGCCGCCGTATCCTCCACCGCCACCACCATGTCCTCCAGCACCTCCATATCCACCGCTACCGGCACCGGCACTTCCGTGTCCGCCGCCTCCGTATCCACCTCCGCCACCCCCGTGGCCGCCGTATCCACCGCTACCGGCACCACCATCTCCGTATCCACCAGCTCCGGCACCTCCGAGTCCACCTCCGTGTCCACCGCCACCACCTAGACCACCTCCGTGACCACCTCCATGACCGCCTCCGTATCCACCGCTATCAGCACCGCCGCTACCGCCTCCATAACCACCATGACCGCCGCCGCCGCCTCCACTGCCTCCAAAGCCACCGTGACCACCACCACCACTGCCTCCTAGGCCACCTCCGTGACCGCCACCACTGCCTCCACCTAGGCCACCTCCGTGACCGCCACCACTGCCTCCACCTAGGCCACCTCCGTGACCACCGTATCCACCGCTACCGCCTCCAAAACCACCGCTTCCGTGACCGCCGCCACCATAACCACCTTGACCGCCAGCACCACCTCCTCCAAAACCACCATGACCGCCACCGCCTCCTAGGTCGCCGCCTCCACCTCCGAAACCTCCATATCCACCGGAGTTTGCCGAAGCACTACCGATAGCTTTAGCATCAGATTTAGAAAAGCTGCTACCACCGCCATAAGAGCTGGCACTGGCTGAACTGCTAGCGCTGCTAAAAGAGGATGCTCCCTCACCTCCACGCTTCGATCGCAATAATTCGATTTCTGTGACAAATCAAGAGAATCTTATTTATATTCTCAACGTTAAAACTTAACATAAAAGTATTGCAAACCACAAATAACTACGCGATTTAGAAGAAGAAAAATAGAACCCACAACCATACTTACGATCAAGTTTTGTGAATTCTACTTTGTTTCATTATGAAACAAAAAGTGCACAATGTTGCTCAATTGCTCAATGCTTACGAAAAATGAAAATACACTTAAGCAAAAAATCCGATTATCTTGGATTAAAGTTCAAATATAGTCATCAATATCTATATGTGGTTATACGAGAAATTTACATATCCTCAGCAGAAATTATGCTTATCGATTTCTCGGCAAAGAAAAGATCTATAAGACTGTTATTTTGCGCAATCACTTTGATTTTTTATAGCACGTCTTTGAAAAGAGCAAGAAGCAAGAAAACTGTCGTTACAAAAAGAAAAGCGTGCGATTGACGTAAATTTCTGTTATATGACGAAAGAATTATCGCCATCTTACTAATAGTACTTATCGCCATCTTACTAATCTTCAATTTTGCGTACATGCTGTTACATGCCGCGGTAACATTACTTTTAAATGTAAATGTATCACGAATTACTTTATAATTTCATAACTTGAGATTTTTCTTTTACATTTAACTATAGTTTCAACATTGTACGTAATAAATAAAAGATAATGACGTAGTCAAGTAGAGAATAGATAAACAAATAAATAATTGAAGGAACGATATGGCTCAACATTTCTTAAGGATATGAGTCGTAAAAAATAATTATTTATTGCCGCAGAAAACTGAATTTGAATGTATTCAATGGCAAAAATCATTTAATTTATATTTTATAACAGAGTAATATAAGGAGGAGATCTAGTAACAAACAATTACTAAAATATAATTTTAGTTTCGACAAGCCTTGTCCTTCTTTAATGATATGTTATTAAAATGCATGTTTTAATGTCACTCATTGAAAAATTAATTAGCAATATATCCAAGGTGCAGAAAAATACATTTTACTATCAGATATGAGACCATTAATGAAGCGATAATGATGACCATAATGATGATGACAACGTAATGCAACGACATGATGCAACGTAATATTACGAGAAGAAAGTAATTTATATACCTCGCGCTTGGACACATGCTGCAAGCAGTAAGGCCAAAAGGCCGATCGTCCGATACTGCCACATGACTGTACTCACTTCTATGCTGATCATTCGCAGTTACCAAGTCTTTATATCTTGCCTCCCACTTCGACGGCTCGTTCCTTCCTAAAACATCGGCCGCTTCTCGCTGAAGGCAAATCGGATTGAAAAGCAATGGGAGCAAAAAATACGACGTGTAGCCAAGGTTAAGGTGATCGGTGATGGTGGATAGGTCTTATCCTGATCGAGCCGTAGGAAGTTGCGGTCGCAGCTTCTTACTTTCTCTATTTCTCGAATAGGCTCGATGAATCGGCGCTTCCATGTCATTAATATGTATAACGCAAGTAGAAGAACACAACGTAGAGAAACTGCTCACACAAGGCAAATGGTATTGTTCATTTGATCATTGACATTTCCGATGATGATCGACTGATCCAAAGAATCATTGCGGACGACACGTTTAAGTCGATAATGCAAAGCATTTCAGGAAGACCGTTCGCAGCATCCAGTGGTCTTATCTTGCACCTCTTATCTCTGCATCTCAATGTCATTTTCTGCATTTATCATTTATGTCATACTCTCGCTAATGATACTTAATAAGAGGTATCCACTTTGTCAGGGACGATCGCGCGTTTCTAGCATTTTTATAAAATACCGTATAATGATACAGGAAACGCGCGGATGATGTGTAAAAAAGAAGATTCGCATTAGGACACGTTATGCGAGACGTCTCAATAGCTTAAATCAGCCGTAAATTAAGAGAAATTAAATCTTAACTATAAGGAAATGCGCTATCGGCGAGAAGGCAACTAGCAGAAGCAATATTTCTGAATTGTTATTTTCTAAGAATTCAGAATTGTTATTATTTTCTCGGAATGCAATGATGATATTTCTACAATCCGATGTTATTGCGGTCGAGTCGAACGGGGAAGTACAATCCCCTAAATTGACAAAAAATCGCAACGGCACGTGCGTAATTAAAAAAATCAAGATAATTCGAGATAATTCGTGGCTTCCGTCATCGTGGCTTCCGTCATCGGCGATCTTGAGATTTCCCTGCGATAAATTATGGAATCGCGTACACAGCATAGAGTGAATGACATGTGAATACAAATATTTATTTAACGAATTAATCTCGCGAGTCTTTTCCTTTCTGATTCTAGAAATTATCAGCCGAGTGTACAAAAAAAAATATACGATAACCTCAGTGTAGACATTAATATGGATCGTTACGTTTTATTGAATACACTTAGATCTTTTCCTCTCTCTCTCTCTCCCCATGATTAAGGAAATCGTGATATGCTAAATCATCATACTGCGAAAAACAATTTTTAAGATACGTAACCAAGTTTTCTATCTTTTTATCTAAATAAGAATCGATAGGAAATTAATCAAGTAAAAATGAAAAAACAATATTATCTTTTTCTCGCGCAAAAACAATATATGTACTTATAAACAAAAACTTCAAAATTTAAATTGCAAAAGAAAAATATAAATGTTTGAAAGATTTTATCTATGTTAAATATAGGACACAATATGATAAACGATTAACGGAATATACTTGGAGAATGTGGATTTGCATCATTATATCGTTTCATATCTTAATACTGTAATCATGTATGAATATTGATTCCTTGCGAACGAGCCGATCATAAGCGATCGCCTTCGCTGATATTGAAGAAGTAATTATCGGATATCGTTCACCATCTTTAACGTCCTGGAATATAGCCGCGGGAATTCCACGCAATTTTTTTCCTTAAGATCTGAAAGAGGAATCTAAGCTTTAGCTAGTCGTTCCTTCGACTTCCGGCAAGAAAATTTATTCTAATGCGTATATATATACGCGAGGAAAATGAGTAACAACGAGTAAATCAGTTATTAGAAATGATAATTGCATATTACGAAAATAGCCTGGCTACCTGTTCCTATCACTTTTTTTTGCATTACTATAAATAATTTCCACATCTCCATATCGCATATCATGTAACCTACAAAACATTAAAAACAATAAAGTATATGATATGTATGTCTTTTTAACAATTCCGATAGAGAGAAAAAAGATAGTGAGAAAGATATTGTGTAAATAAAACAATTATATGAAAATAAGGATCAAGTAATTATCCAAACTTGTTATATCATTTGATATTTGCAAGAGAAGCGATTCTTTCACGAAACAGAATATCGTGTACTCTTTATCAAAGGCGCCTAAAGCAAAACATGCTTTATTGGGGTTGTTTTAGCCCACCTTGTATGTCACGTTCCAATGATTATTCATGAGCACGTGAACGTCTTATTAAAGCGCTCAACGATCTTTTACATTCACCGTGAGATAATCATAAAAAAATGTATGGTACCGAAACTCATTAAGTTCATTACTAGCTCGTCAAGCGAATCAAAAACGTTTTAGCATACATTACGAGCGGCTTTTTTCTCACGCTTGACGCATATACGATTTACGAGCGATACGATACCGCCGCATATACCTGATCGTGAGATTATCATAAGCATGGTTACAACAGCAGATTATTACGATTTTTTCTTACATTGACGCTTTATCCGTTGAGACTACAATTATCTTACAAATCAACGTAGAAGCCTGACACTACTTCCCAAGAGATCAATCTTAAATTTTAATATACAGGCCGTCCCTCTGAGAAATATGCCGAATAAGACGTTTTTGCAAGCCAATCTTTCTTCGCTGAAGAAAAAGCTAGTTTTTGTCGCATCTTTTCGATTTATGATTGATATCTTTATATTTTTATAACTTTAAATGATAATTTTATTAAAGTCCATTTGTAGAATTAACTGCAGAATATAATTATCATTATCGTCATCTCTTTTCGAAGGAAAAGAAATTTTAATATTACCTTCAACTTTTTATAAAACTACTTTCACAATTAGTCTATATTGATAGTATAATTTCTGTTTTGAGAGATATGTATCTCTTAAAAATCTCTTAAAAATCACTCGATTCTATTTGTGAGGAAAAGATATTGTTAATACATATTTATTGCGGCAAAATATAGTGACGGTAATACATAATGTATGACGACGTTACATTCATTTTATTGCTTAGGAAAGGATTAGATATATAAGATGGCAACTTAGGAAAGATATATTGGAAATATATGCGGTGATGGTCCATCGTTAAAAAATCTATACTTGAAATAGATAGACTATTTCGATATTTGAATTGATGGACTTAAAAAGTCATTTGTTAAAATTAAAAATTTCATATAAGAAAGTATCAGTGTTATGTAAAGACTATGAAATGATATGGATTATAAAATGTAGCAAAAATGTTTTAACTTATATAAATCTAATGTAGGTATTTTTATTTAAATAATATGAGAGAAATATGTGACATGTTTATGTCATCAATCGTCATGTCGCCGAGTTTCTCATAATATTATAACAATGTTACTATCTGTTAGGTCTTCAAACGCTCAAAAAGCATCGTAGGCTAATAAGCTCTTTACGAGGCAAAGCCAAAATCACTCCTGAGGACTAAACAATGATCTAGACCTTAAACGAACTTCTATACAGACATGCCTTTATACCACAATATATTTGTGTAAGCCTTCGTCTTTACGTACATATGCATAGGTTCGCAACCGAGAAATGCACATAATTAATTCTTCTCTTTGACGTTATATATTAATTGTAATCTAACTTATACAATTTTTCTCGAAACGACACAAAGGTCCAAAGAACATCTCTTTAAGTGTGCACCAACATTTAAAGAACGATGCGATTAGATAGACTGACACATCATCACGATTTTCTCCGGACGTTTGCATTGTTTGAGTTGATAATTAAACGTACTTAATAATTTAATAATTATTCATCTCTTTGATTTACTTTTTAGGGCGGGTTTATAGATAGGATTATAAATTTCGTTATTTGAATAATCACGCGATAAAGACAGTAATAACATTAATATGTTATAATATAGCGCATATCGTGCCATCTTTTGTTGCAGAATTTCTTCCAGTTTTGGCGGACACTGCCATATACTGGTTTTAAAAAGCTCGATGGCACCATTTACTTAGAAGTTGCAAAATTATAAGCATTTTCCTACGACTACAGAGTAAAATATAATTACTCGCCCATATTATGTGTTCCATTAATTGAATAATATAAAAAAAAAGAAATGTTAAATTATTGTCTTATTAAAAACATCAATTGTTAAATAGATTTAAATAAAAAATTGGTCCGACATTAATACTAATCGTATAATTTGTTGTGACTGGTTGCAAGTCTTTCTTTGCAGAATGTGTTTTAAAAATATATTACTAATGTAAATATATGCAAATAGATGAAATTATAACGTTATATCCGTTTTACACTGAGTAAAATCGCGCGTTTAATAACAACTCTCTTACTTATAATGCAACAAAGATGTATCAATCGTATAAAAGTATAAAGCATGAGTCATGTCAAAAGAAACATTCAAAAAAAAAAACTGAGCAAGAATATGTTGCATAATGTATAGTCACCATTGATTGCGAGTTGGCCGCACAATTATCGCTCAATGTACAGCAGATATTAAAAAAGGACTTCGTTATAAAACTTTTCTAGACAAATGCGATAAGTATATGTGTAAATATTATATATGTACATATTTTTTCTTATATTTATATATATATATATATATATATAAAATTCTTTTTCAATATATATATCTCTCCATAAATTTGTGACATAATATCGAGATTTTTATCACTCGTTTGAAAACTGTAAACATCATTCATTAAATTTATATCAAATCATAAATCACATAAAATCCTGCAATTTGTACATATAATTTTTCTGCTTTATACTTTCGTTTCTAACAATTTTCTACATTATTCTACACGCGCGTTATATTTCTTTTTGCTTGCCCTAGAAGTTTTAACTGCCTTTAAAATTAAGAAATTCCTGGCAGAACCAAGTGATCAATTATGACTTTTGATTTTAATTGTATAAGGCCAAATATTTAGACTTTCTCGTTATTTACGAGATCATTCCCTGTGGAATAATATCCTAATAAATTGTTCAATTTTTAACGATTATTTCATTAATTATGGATATAAAGAAGAAAAATCAGATTTTAATATTCTTCTTTTCCATTCATGTTAGCGGAGACATGATTCTGTTGAGTTGCACT